CTTGCCCCCCATATTGGCCAGATTAGCCACCGCGACTGCATTGTCCATAAACAATTGAACATGAATGTCAGACTTTGTTGCACAGAAACATTGTAATGTCAAAAGAGCTGCTGTCAATTCCAAAACGTTAGTGTGCAGGTTCTGTTTGATGGAGAGAATTTCCCTTCTGGTAAAGAGGACACCACATGTGTCCGATCTATATCAACATCGGATTCAGGGATTGATGGAGATGATGAAGATGATGAAATGGATTACAACAGAGGCTAATTAATGAACCAAGGGCTAGAATAAGCCTTTATCTCTGAAGTTATTTCCCTGATATTACTTATCAATTGAATAATAATTTTTAAATTTTGTATCCCTAAACCAGCTAAAAATAAACTGAAATCAACTCCAAAACCTTTTATTACAGCTGAAGTCACGTGTGTTAAATATGGAGGTAACAGAAAATACATAATACATAATACTGTGTCAAATAAGAAATATTATAGTTAAATGCAGATCTTTATAATGATCATCTAAGAGATAATTCAACTTGGTTCAATGTGGTTATTTAAATGAAGACAAGATACATTATTTTTAGCTCACCTGGCACAAAGTGCCAAGTGAGCTTATGCCGTGGTGCGGCGTCCGTCGTCCGGTGTCAATATTTTATTTTAAACGACTTCTTCTTAATAACCGAAAGGCCTAGGGTGTCGATATTTGGTCAGAAGCAAACTGGGATGAAGGGCTACAAAGTTTGTTCAAATGAATGACCTTCACTTATATTCAAGGTCACAAGGGTCAAATATGTGAAAAACATTAAACAACTTCTTCTGAATAACCAAAATGCACAGGGTTATGATATTTGGCCAGTAGCATACTGAGATGAAGGGCTACAAAGTTTGTTCAAATGCATGACCTTCACCCATATTCAAGGTCACAGGGGTCAAATATGTTAAAAACATTAAACAACTTCTTCTGAATAACCAAAATGCCCAGGGTGATGATATTTAGTCAGTAGCATACTAGGATCAAGGGCTACCAAGTTTGTTTAAATGTATGACCTTGAATCATATTCAAGGTCACAAGGAGCAAATATGTTCAAAATATTTAAACAACTTGTTCTGAATAACCAAAAGGCTCAGGATGTTGATATTTAGTCAGTAGCATGCTTGGATCAAGGACTACTATGTTTGTTAAAGTGAATGACTTTGACTTATATTCAAGGTCACAGGGGTCAAATTTGTTTAAAATCTTTAAACGACCTCTTCTGAATAACCATGGGTCCTAGGATGTTGATACTTTGCAAGTTGCATCCTGAGATGAAAGGCTATGAAATTTGTTCAACATAATGACTTTGTTCAACTTTCAATCACAGGGGTAAAATGTTTAAAAAAAATTAACAGGGTCTTTTGAATGAAATAGTGCACTGGTATACCAGTGATATTCCAGTGGTATTCCAGTGGTAAATTTCAACCAAATGCCAGTTGAAAATGTAAACCAAATCCAGTGGAATTCCAATGGAAATCCACTGGAAACTTCACAAATGCCAGTGGAAAATGAGATGGAATTCCAGTGGTATTCCAATGGAAATCCATTGGTAAATTTCAACCAAATTCCAGAGGAATGCCACTGGAAATCCAGTAGAATAAGATAAAATGCCACTGGAATTCCGTGCTGCCTCAGTGTACCTTTTGAAGTTCAACAAAACTCGGTTAACGAATGATATGTGCTTTTGAGAAGGTAAACACAAAATCATCAACAGATCAGCATGGAAGTCAGAACTCCAATTACAGCCTGAGAATGCAGTACAATCTGAAACTAATTTGCAGGAAAATGAAAAAAAATATTGAAGGACCAATAAATGTAGCATTTCATAACTCTAAATCAAATTCAGAATTTAATTAAGACACACCAACTGATAAACCGTTATTGATGAGAATTCAAGACACAACAACTATATTAGCCGTAAAAAAAATAATCTTGGAATTCTTGCTATCCTGTATCCAAGATGCACGCTTAATTCTGCTGCCTGTCCGGCAACTTTCAGAGGTATCACTATTTTTTTAATAACTTTCTCATCTTATCGTTGACACACTTTACAGTTTTTTCCCATGTCAAGTTCTTGTCACAATGAGGATAACTGGTGAAGATGTGCGATGAAAAAAGAAAGACATTTATATAAATTAGATCAAAAGAATTTCAACTGCACAATGTGATTGTATTTACCTTGCTGAGAATAAATCATGAAATATGATGAGATAGACAAGTTCTTGCTATTTTAAAGTATACACGTGTCTAATTTATTCAGACAGAAAAAGCAATCAAACCGCCTTTTATTTTTGTAAAAATTGGCATATCTGTCTTTTCTGTTGAGCATTAAAGCAGTTTTCAAATAGTATATCATATAGCATGCAGGAAATCCTTAAACGACGTTAATAAAGACCAATATTTCAGAAATTACATACATCTCAATGCCCGCCTTTTATTTTCCTCCATAGGCTCCTTATCGTGCTGTTTGTTTCCATACACTGATCTTCCCGTACTCCTCAGGTGTGATCAAAAACTCGATTAAATTTAATGCGAGTTTTTCAGGGTTTTTTGTACTTTTCTCGCAACGAATTAAATTTTCCTTGGTTACCCGGATACCGTAACGGCTTTCGCCAATGAAAGTCATCTCTGTAGAAGAAAAAGATATTACTAAAAGAAACCAACATTTATACAATACATATGCATGTGCACATTTTAATGTAAATGTAAAACATTTACAAAATTCTCATAATTTCAACACAAGAAAATTTCAATAAACACTATTTAATTTGGCATCATATCAAATAAAAATTAAAGACCAACAAGAGGCCCAAGGGGCGTTACCGGTCACCTGAGTTCTATATATACTGTTGTTCTTGTAACAATTATGTGATAGAAATCATCTCATTAACAAAGTAAGACAACTCAAACTACATTGTATATGTAGTGCAAATGTAAATAAGCATAACTTTAAATGCCAACCATGTTAAGGACACTAACCAAGTTTGAATCAAATGAACTATTATGCTCAAAAATGTCATTTTCCTATATAAACTAAAGTGGTTCAGTGGTTTCGGAGACGAAATTGAAAATGTTAATTGTTTAAGGAGGTACGACAGATGCTGCCGGACAAAAGGCAATCGCAATAGGTAACCAGAGACTTCATCTCAGGTGACCTTAAAAGTGTGTTTAATTTACCATTATCATCTGCACCAGGGGAAAGAGTTCTAGGGGGACTCGTTAACTGTGGTATCAGGTGTTGAACAGGTGATGCATACTGCTGTTGAACAGGCGGTGACAGGTGTTGGAACAGGCAGTGGCAGGTGTTGAACAGGCGGTGGCAGGTGTTGAACAGGCGGTGACTGCTGTTGTGGCACATCCAATTTTTAGGAAATTTAAAACGTCTGCTCAAATATATCTCAAGTTTCCCTTTTTCAATAAAAAGTCCTTGTTTATGAGTTTGGAACTGAATTTGAGAAGTCGTGAAAACAGAAACACTCAATATGAGTAGCCAGTAATGACATGCATTTTCAATCATCAGATAAGCCTGTGTTTTAATGGGATCGACCACCAGGCAGTCAGACTTAACTTTTATACAAAATCAAGTCCCCTTCACCAGAGGATGCTTCAGGCCAAATTTGGACAAAATCATGTCATTCCCTATAATTTCCTATATTTACCCATTTGACCCTAACACCTCAAGGGACTAATTGAGCTAAAAACTATAGACATGATTAGCTTGGCTGGATTAACCTGGTTGCAAACTCTACCATAGCTGAAATTAATACTGTTGACAAGTCTAGTTTAACTGTCATGACCTTGATGTAAAAATTATAATTTGAAATCAGTTTTACCTTGTACAGTTTCCTTAAACAAGCCTTGCAATTAAAAACTTCTTCAACTTTCCAAGTCAGGGTGTCAACCTGTAAAAGCAAGCAGTGTATTTTTATGTGCCAGAATTTATAGCAAGAGAGCTAGAATTCAAGTATCGTTCATCTTGTCTTTGCAAACATACATCACATTTAAAAAGCATTATCATATTCAGTTCCTTTTCACAAGGCCAAATAAAAAAATGTTGTGATACGGGTTTCCTTTGATGCCTACCCAACAGTTTTTATTGCAATTAACAAAGAAGCACCGTTAAAAGTCAGAACGTGCCTTCTTTATAACCTAAGTAAAATAATAGAATAAAAAAATCCCTACATACCTAGGCTACCATATTTGTTTGGAGATAAAACCTGAAACACACAATTTTTTATTTGGCCTAATAAGGATGCAGATTGGTATTTTGCATTTTATTGTTACAGGACCAATACTCAAGTCCCCAAAAAGACTGGTCAGTCACCAACAAAGGAATATTGTTCCTAAAGTCTCAATAAACTTAAACACCAATCTCAAAATTCCTACAAATCAGAATAAATCATTGATCATTGTTAGATTTGAAAATGGAAGTCAGTGGTTGATTGTTGTTTGAATACACAACATTACAAATTTTCGTCAAAAATCAGACAGTTCATATTAGAGGAAAAATAAACTATATTTGTTCAAAAGCCAATCAGGTTTTCATCCTTTCCACTAAGTTTCATTTTGTTCCATTAAATAGAAAACAAGTTAATTACTGCTGGATGTGATATTGGCCAATCAGAGACAACAGCACTGGGCAGCAGCAGTATGTAAATGCACAACTATATATATCACAGAGTATGTATGCAAAGTTAATGAGCAAATGCATGCCCTGGCAGTTTGTCTCGGATGACTAAATAATAAGAAATTGAGCAAAAGTACTATCCGGGGTATTTTCCTTATCTAGTTTTATATTCAGCGACTACTAATCTCAAATTTCCTCGTTAACAATCACCAAATTACCTTTTTCTCCGATTTCTTTAATAGCTGTCATCATCGAGACTAGCCCTGTTTCCTCTTGATTTATTTCCTCTCCATCTTCACCAAGCAAACCGGCAGAGAAGTCTTTCAAAGTCTTTGGTCTTTGTTTCAATTTTTCTCTTTTCTTCTTATTATCATCAGCTTTGCTTGCTTTAGCCTAAAACAGCATCAGAAACATCCAAAACGATTTGGCTAACATACCGTGTCAAATTTTTCTACACAAGTTATACACTTAAGTTGTGCCTGCATGAATAAGGAACATCTATAAAAAGCAAGATATTTTCCCTTTCTTTTTAAGCAAAAAAAAACACGCACAAGATTACTGCAGTGACATAATATCATTCTGGTATCAAATTACATGAAAAATTGAAATAAAGTGTATAGCACAGTGTATCAAAGGTAGAGTAAATCAGAGATACCAAAGAAAGTAGGATCTTTTTTCTTTACAAGTTTAATCTTTTACTGGCCTTTCTCAAATTATGATTGCATCAAATTAGGGGGGCACAGTTTTCATCAGAAATTTGAGTAAAATTCATTTTAAAGTACTTCTAAAGAAACTTTGATACTATTGTTTCGGGACAGACACAGAGCTTTCTGAATTTAATTAGGACAAGAGAACCGCAGTATATGCCTGTCCCATGCCAAATAGATGCATAATTTTATCGAATGATATTGAATTCTGAAATAAAGGGCAATATATAACCTGTGCAAAAATAGTGGAATCAAAATGCTAATCCAGAAAAACACTACTATATATATATCATGATTAGCTTTGAAGTTTCAAAGACATCTGTTAAAAAGTATGGGAGCAGATCTCTAGACAAGATTTAAGTACTGAAATTAAGAAGGGGGCAACAACTTTGAGAAACTAGTCAAAACAAAATGCCATTCAGGAAAACACAACTGAACATATCGGTTATCACGATTATTAAGTCTACCAAGCTTAAGTTTCGAAGAGATTAGTTGAAAGAAAAAACTCATTTAAGTGATGCCACTGACTAGAAATAGAAATAAAACATATATATAATACCTGATCATTCATATCTGTTCTTTTGGTTCTTTTGGCATTGCTGTTCTCGAAATCTGTAACAGAAATCAGGTGACCTATATATTATATAAGTCTATTCAAAATGGCAGAATTCAAAATTTGTATTTTAAATGTAAAATTAAGTAAAAAACGGTTATGTGATTGCTGGATTTCCTATCCCTTCATATACATGAAATAAAATTAGAATTATGTCTGAATTATATATGCAAACAGAAGTGGCTCCCATCATTTATCATAAACTGTTATGAACAATTGAACATGGGAGTTTATACATTATTATGATGATATTAATATACCTTCAAGTTTTCTTTTCCATATTTCATGCAGTTGGTAATCGTTGTCCTGGTCAACATTTGAACCTATCAAAGTAAAATAAGTGATGTTTAACAAGTGATCAGAGTGATTAACACTTGAAGTATCTTGCTAACATCATATATGTTCCTTGAATCTGAAAGGCATTCAACAGGATAAAAAAATAATTTCCTCTACTTCGTTAAGATTTTCAGCTATAATCATGGGATCTTGATCTTGTCCATGGAAAATAACATTAAATTCTCACCATTCCTTATTTTTTTTGCTTGTCCATCTATGCTTTTTTGTTGATCATCATTCACAACTGTCTCATGATCAGCGGATCCAGATGTTTCATAAGGATTTTTAAGATTGCCAAGTGATATGTCCAGGTTATTCATCCTCTCAACCATGACAGATCTGTTACCTGTAAAGTATGACATTGCAATATAATGTACCATAAATTTTAAACTACTTCATCAAATCTAAGAGACTATCAGATTAACTACAGTATCTTTAACGTTTTCACAAGAAACCAAACACTAAACGATATTCATTCGGAAACTCTATCCAATTTATTAAATAAAAATTGTCAGTTGTCAGTTGTTCTACCACTTTTCACATGACCATGGGCCATTATCAACAATTTAATGTCAATTTCAGAGAGAAAAAAGGTGGGCCATCCGATGCAAAAAAATACTCAAAATTGACAGAAAATGGAGAATTGGAGGTGACAATCTAAGTTTTGAGAAGCCAAGGGCCCCTTATACTATGAACCTGAGATTTGGAGGTTCTTTTAATGAAAAATACTACAAATATAGTTATCGATTTGGAATTAATTTCAATCGGAATTCGATATGGTCAAAAAAATCCTGATATGAATATAAATAATGAAAACATTGAATTACCCTCTTAGAAAGTAAGCTCCCCCTTTACTTTTTATTGTGTATTTATATTTTTTCTTTGGGGCATGCGCACATCGACTTCCATTGTTAACTTCCGGTAGAGACGACACGCTGAATGGCCCTAGTTAAAACTAGCAGTAAAGCTGAATTCGATACTACTTGAAGTTGGTAACTAACCTAAAAAAAACCTCGAAGTCATGTAAATCCAACGTATAGAATTCTTTCTCGAGATGGACAGTTCGTCAAGTGACAGCCCTGTATCTACAGATGAAGAAAATAACGTGGCGAGTTCAAACGAATTTCAAACCCCCAAAAAGAGGAAATATAGACGTTCTTTGCACCATGGGTTTTCTTCAAGAAGGTCAAAGTACTACGATGTCACACCAGATAAAAACAAAGAACTTGCTTCTAAAAATAGCAGAACTTTCAGCGCATCATATAGATCTGCAAACGTGGAAAGCGAAAGCGTTTTCGGGCGGACTGTCGATCGTGACTCTGACTCTTCTATGATAAGTAATGACTTCGTCGACACGATCACTGACCAAGTTTACTCAGACGTTCTAAGTTCTGACACTTCATCAGACTCTCGTCTTTCTACAGAGAGTGAAAGCGACGAATATAACCTTAACGAAGAATTCACTTCATCAAATGAAATTGAAAGTAAATCCAACTGGAATTGCCCACTGTATGAGGGTTGCCAACAAACAGAAATAACGTCTTACACATTAACCATGCTTTTTGTTATCAAACATTCTTTATCTAATGATGCATTTGCAGACCTCCTACAGCTGATATCTTCGCATTTACCATCGTCTGTGCCCTATTTCAAATCTGTGTACAAAGTGAAGGAAGCCCTGAAAGAAGCAGTTAACTTTAAAAAATTCAAGCTTAATAATTATTGTGAATCATGTCAGAGAAACCTTCCAACGGGAGAAACATGTAAGGACAGACTCTGCAGACAAAACAACGGAAACATTCTTAACTTTTATGATTTACAATTAGAACAGCAGCTCAAAGATTTATTTAAAGGTCAGTTTTCTATTTGCGATTGATTATTTGTTTGTTCTTGATTTGTAAAAGCCACCCGTGTTTAATTTTGTTTAACAAAAGTCAACATATAATGTGCAGATAATTACAGGACATACAAATGAAACATTTATATATCAGGCTACCAAAATATACACACATACACTACACGCATGCATCTTGCACACAGGGAGGCCGTCCTTAAATGACCTTAGCTGTTAATAGGACGTTAAACAAAATCAAACAAACAAACAAAAAATATATATCAGGGTGACTTTCTCAAAGTAAACACAGTCTCAATTTCGTAAATATCTTTGTATTTTATGATTGAGCTGAGCATCCTTATGTATACAAGTCTATCAAAACATGATCTCTCATCTTGTTTTTAATCGTAATTTTTAAGATTTTAGTGCAATGAGCTTTTGAAATTACATAGAGAAGCCTTATCCATTTATAATTAACGAGATAATTATATTAGAAATAATCCCACTACCCGCCACAGAAAGTGGAGAGAAAATTTTAATTATTTCTATAAATATTTTAGTATTCATGCATGTATAAAAATGCCTTCCATTTTGTTGCAGATGAACAATTTCAGAAGATGATATTCAATCATTCAGATAAAAACAGTGTAGATGAGACACTGGAGCTGTATGACATACATGATGGGAAATATTACAAAGAACAACTGAAAGAAATACAACAAGGTGCAGACTTTTACCTAACCTTCACTATGAACACAGGTAAAGCAAACCGACAAATAAAAGTATGCACTTACGAAATGTGACCTATTGCTATATAGTACAGATTCGTTATCACTATGCTGGGTGTCAATTTTTTTTTTTTCAATACACATGACAACCCCGGTCAGGCGCTTATACTTACATAAGGTTTATTGCAGTTTATCTGTAACTTACAGTAATTAAATTAGTTGGCCCAAACAACTACATTCACATTTTAGTTTGGTGTTTCACTGTTTGCCAATTTTGCATGTTCAGTAATTATTATCATTACAGTAATCAATATTAATATTTCTTCCCAAAATATTTTACAGATTGGGTTTCGCTGTTCTCTTCCTCCAAGAAAGGATCACTCTGGCCTGTATATTTAGCTATCAATGAACTTCCTGTCAAACTCAGGTATACACTAAAAAACACATTATGTCAATCTCAGTCTGCCAGTATTTATAATGGCAGCACAATGCCGCAATGATATAGAAATTATAAATTTGTGTTGAATTCTTTTTTCTACTGGTATCATTTGTGGCTTCATTCATTAAGGGCTTTTGATAAAATTTCATATTCTTCTAGAGTGCCAAAGGTTTGAGGTTTGTAGACTTCATTTTTTTATTTTGATCAAAATTCCAATATTTAATTCAAAGTGGCTATCTTTAATTGCCATTACTCAAAGTTGAACCATAAGAGGATTGGTATAATTTGTGATGCATTGTTTATTAATCATATTTTAATTTAGTTTACAAATTGTCCATATGATATATTTTTTTATCTCATTTTAGATTCAGCCGGAAATTTCTGTTGCCATGCTTATTACATTGTCAGCTTGAAAAGCCTAATATGCTTACTTACGTGACTCCCTTGATGAAAGTCCTTCAAAACCTTGGTTCTAAAGGTATTTCATATTGCATTTGACTACTATTCATATAAAGTTTCCTTTGACATTTTTTACTCTTTTACTAACCCTGAGCAGTACTGCAAGTACTGTTGAAAACTGTATTGCTGTTTCTTTTAAAATAACATGCTCATGTAAATTCTGGGCAAATTAATTGCCACTTTCAAACATTTTTAATTTTTCGTAATGTAAAATGACCTTAGATTTTTGAGTCAGTTCTAAATTACATTATTCACCAAAATATTATTATTAACTATGTAAATGTTACATTAACAATTGAACAAGGGCTCTTCTGACTTCATTGAATTTGCTGAGTGAAACTACTAAATTTCGTTAATCCTACAACATTTATCAATTAATTGTAGGGATTGTTGTTGAAACATCAAAAGGAACAGTATGTGTCAAGGGTCATTTGATAGTGGCAGCTCTAGATTTACCAGCTCGAGCTACTAGTACAGTACATTTCACCTAATATCACGTCTGTTAATGTCAATGTAGTGTTATAGCATGATAACATATGCGACATCCTTTCCACAAGTTAAATTAGGTGACACATTTACATTTTAAGCCATTCAATTTGTCAGTTGGAATAGGGTTCATATTCATCCTCAAATCCAGCTGAAAGAAAAGTCCTGCACTACACTCGTAGTTCAGTACGTAAATTATGAGAATGAAATGTTAAACAACACAATTATTTCTCCCAATTGCTTTCTCTTTCTTTTATTTGTATACAGAATCTTCACAGGTTATTACTAGTCTTTCCATTCATTTACAATTCATCAGTGGTAATCTAATAAAAAAAACTGTTAAATCTGCAGGTGAATGGTGTTAAAGGAGTGCTGCCATTCATGATGCTGCAACATATAGACCCAAGTACAGTTTTTCTAGTTGACTGGATGAACTGTGTCTTGCTGGGAGTCTGCAAGTTAGGCCCTGCAGGTAGGGCGTAAGAATTGTACTTGCTGCCCCCAATTGCATGATCGTAAGAGGCGACTAAATTTGGGACCTTATCTCTTCTCTCCTTTCTAAATAACTTTCTTCTTCCTAATGTCTCCCTTGACAATGCCTCACTTTTGGCCATTTGTTGAGCGTTCGCCCCTGTGAGGAAGGCTTTGGGTTCTGTCCCCTGGCCGAGACATACCAAAGTCTTTAAAAATGGTAGTTTCTACTCCTGCTTAACGCTCAGCAAATTAGGAGTGGGACGACTGGTTCGCCCGTTGTCAGTATAATGTGACCGGGTGGGGCGTCCTGCTGGGTGTCTTCGGCAGTATGTTTCAGTGGGGTAGCACTATAAAGTCGGTATCAGTTCCGCGCTATCACAAGGAGACAAACACGAACATATCGCAGCCTCCCAAAATACACACACATACACTACACGCATGCATCTTGCACCCAGGGGAGGCCGTCCTTAAATGACCTTAGCTGTTAATAGGACGTTAAACAAAATCAAACAAACAAACAAGTCTGCAAGTCATTGATGTCTTTCTGGTTGAATGCCAAGTACAAGCAAAAAG